AGCAGAAAATGTGAATTAAACCTAAAAAAATAACAATTATTAATTCAATGCCAGTGTGCAAGATATCATCACCATTTTGAGCTCTTTCTGGGTCCTTTTGAGGTCTGCTATATGTACCGCACTAAGGCTACTGAGCCCATTCCTCCTAGGGAGGGGAGTGACAGCTCTTGACTGAAGTGACATTAGAGGTGGTGGCTGGCCGAGAAGGTGGTGGGGTGGCAAAGAAAAGGATTCAGAAAGTAATTTATTGCATGTCTGCTGTATTGAGAAATGAATAAAAGTGAAACATACCCCATGTAGCATAGTTCGTGATGTAAGAGGCAAGAACTTGTGTGAAGTTGTCCAGTGGAGAGGGTGGCACGCAAGAAACTCAGTCTGTTTTCCTGTTTGGTGGTGATACAATAAAGTAGCCCCTAATCTAAGTACTGTTAGTTCTAGTTGTTCATATTTGTTTGTCTTGCAGCACTGAGGATTTGTACTGTTTGATAGTAAGGAAGGAGGATGGATGAACTGAAAAAGAGAATCTATTTCACAACATTTTTTTAGAGGAGTTTTATGGAGAGTGCCAGGATGTGACTGGCACAAATCAGAGGTAGGGGATCTGGACTGCTGAAGTTAATACTCAAACCACAGAAAGAGTCATGAAAGCACAACCCGAAAAGCAGGTGCAAAATACTTAGTGGAAGTTTGCACTGTCTCTTGTTTGCACTTGTTGAATCTTATCTGCTTGGATTTCATTTGGTTAGCATCTACCACTATGGAATCTTGAACCATGGTGAGCCCTTCAAGCATTTTCCATTTTTATTTTTTTTTAAAGAAAACAGTTTCAAAGTTACACTCTCTGCTTCCCAAACCTACAATAAAAATAATTCTTCACTGATTTGCAGCTTACCAGCAAAAATGAAAAAGCAGTGTTTCCAGCAAACTAGAAAGCAGTGGAGCTTTGCTTATAAATAAAGGGAGCTTTAATCCATTTGTTTCTTCCCCTGTAGAATACGAAGATCATGTAGATGAGATTGCATCTGTGCATTTCCAAAATACTTTTTTATGCATAATGTCTTTGGTAGTGTACAGACGAGAATTCGGTGCACTGGTAGAAATTGCACTTCTCTCCAGACATGGTACTGTTCACTTTTCTTTCAGCATTCACAGGTGAGAAGTAAGAATTGACTGATTTATTTAATATATGCATCTCTGAAAAGTAAAGTCTCAGTAAGTAAATGCTCATTTGTATGTGTCAGTTTTAAAGTAGAATGGCCCCTTCTTTAAAGAGTATAGCTGTAATATAACCACCCAAGTACAGCCTACACAGGTTATGTTACATCCAGCTTGGGCCAGGCTAAATGACAGGTATAAATCAGTGCTTCTAATGTAGTTTGAACTTTGCTTTCTGTGTAGCTAACAAAGATTTCCTTTAAAAGAAGGTTTGGAGGCAGTGGAAATAATTTTCTGTTTTAAAAGTACCATGCCATCTGTTTCTGTTTTCTGTTGTTGGTATCACTGCATTTTTGGGCAGTAAGTGGACCATTGTAGAAACTAGGTCCTTTCCTGTCCTGTCCCCGCCCCTGTCCCACCTCCCCAAAATCGTTTCGCATAAAAAGTCAGGAATTGGTGTGGAGAAGAGATACATATTACTCTCCTGACAGTTTAAATGTTACCTCTCTGGTAAGATGAAGGTCATGAGAGCCTGCTTTCTCCTTATGAACTGTAAGCAGAGATTGCCTCTCCTGAGATGCTTTACAGAAGTGATGCACAGTTGGGTGTAAGAACTGGATGCTGCCTGACATTTAACACTGCACTGCAACTCAGCTGCTTTTAAACACATCTGAGTCGTTCCTCATGCTGTGAAAATACACCATGCTGTTGTGTATACCACGAGTTCTTAAGTTCTTAGTACACAGTGGTATTCTGAAATTCAAAGACTTCTTAAAACTTGGGGATTTGACATTGTGATAAGCTGATACTGAAGGATAAGACTCCTCAAAATTTCTTAAAAAAACAAACAAACAAAAACCAAAACCCAAGGAAAAGAATAAAACCAATTATTTTTACCCATGTTATAAGAGGTTTTTGGTTTTGTTTTTGTTTTTTTCTTTCCCATTCTGTAGCACCTCCTGGGTCTGCAGCAGCAGGTAGCCTAACAGGCTACCTCTAAAGCTGTACTTAAATCAATTGTTGATGCTAGTGCACAAACAAAGATGGACTGTTTTGGTAAGACAAGGCTCCATTGAAGTTAGTGCTAATAAGCAAACCAGCTCTGTTCACTTGACTCCCATTCAAAACACAGGAAAAGGATCAATCTTTGCCAAACTTCAAAGACTGTAACTATTACAGAGGATAAAATTATTTACGTCAAGTGGGTATAAAGCATATTTTCAAAATAAACACTGAAACCACACTTTACTCTTACCACATATATTAATCATATTCTCTGTGGGCATGAAATACAGAAAGCGGTCAGCTTTGTATTCCTTCGTTTTATTAATGCAAGTTTTTTCTACCTAACATTTAATATAAGCAGTACTGCCTAAGTACCAGCTTAGATGTCAGTTACAATGTACCTTCTCACTGTGTTTACTCTTAGCAAAAGGGCTTGCTTTTAGTATTTCACTAATGCTTTTTAAAAAGAAACCCTGAAGTAGTCGTGGATGGGGTTAATTTGACTGTTTGATTTTAGATTGTTGTACCTACACTTCTGTTTAAAGAAGCTTGTGCTAGTCCTTGCAGCAGTGCCATGGCTTCTTATATTTCTGTAGCAAATTGTTTTTGTAGTTTAGTGTTTGAGTGCTCTAGTGCTGGATTGATCATCTTCTGCTTTTTAAGCACAACTCCATGGTGTAGTGGGTGATTCTTCTGAGAAGAGTCACTCTAGTGATGTCATATGCTCAATTTTGATTTTCACATGCTGCTATGGGTAAATTAGTGTCCTGCAGGTATAAAATGTGGACATTCTCCAGCATGTAGTTTGTGGGGTTTGAGGCTTTTTTTTTTTTTCAAATAAATTTTAGTACATTCTTCTCCTGTACTTATACTGGTCTGTTTAAAAGCCAGACTGTTTGAGCTTAGCCTTGCTTGGATGTGCTCTGTTCACCTTCTAGAGCTGGAAATGAAATTTAGGGAAGTTCCTCCCTAAAAGTGGGTGTATTGGTGGGGCAGATGCCTCTCCTTTGTATCTGAGAGATCTACCCCCATCCTGACCTGCCTGAGGCACTGCAGCAGCGATTGCTTGCTGAGGTCTTCTCTGTCTGTGCTCTGGTCTGGAATGTGCTGCTGCTGTTGTCACCCTGGTTTTCTCTCTTTAGCACGTACCTAACCTCTTTGCTCTGCTGAGGTTTAGCTGGATTGCTGAGAGAACAAATGTAGTGCAATAAGGAGTTTTTTGAAATCAGTGTGAACCTTGGGGTTTTTACCTTTCCAGAGAAGGAGACTCCACAACCTCTCTGGGGAGCTTGTTCCAGTGCTCTGTCAACCTCACAGTGAAAAAGACTCTTCTAATCCTCTGGCTTCTAACTAAATTATCATTCGGTCAGAGCCCATATGGCTCCATTGCTGAGGCAGCAATGGCAGGGTTGTGTTAGATTTTGGGTTTTTTTCCCTCCTTTCTTAGCTTAAATACTGCATTAATGGAGTCTGAGTTGTCTTCTGAGAAACTGACTTCTCTGAGTTGTACCACAATGCAGCAGTGAGATCTGCATCCAAATCTGAGGTGTTCCTATCATATTTAGTGTATCATTTGGCAGATCCCCATAGTGGAGTGTGTTAAAGAATAAGCAGTCTAGGGAACTGCCAACCTTGATGCAGTAATTCCTAGAAAGATATGCTGGTTACACCATGCTGGTTAAACCCCTTTTTCTCTGCGTGGAGATGGTAATGGAGGAAGGAATTGGTCTGGTGATCAGCTCCACTTGTTCAGTCAGCACTCACTCATTCTGGCTTACTTGAGGCTGACACAAACATGCTCGAGCCGGGTCCTTGCAGGCTTTCAAGATCCTGCAGGGTTTATTAACTAGGGCTTGGTGCCAAGCAAATGCAACTCTGCTGGTGCCAGACCAAGTGGGATCTGCCGTTTTGGCACAGAGTGCGAGCTGTGGGAGCCTGCCAAGTGTGAAGGGTGCAGACCTGGATCCAGCGCTGTTCTCAGATCCAAGAGCTCTGAAAACACGTTGTGGATATCCGACCATATGGATCATCTTGGGACCATCAGAGCTCTTTAGATCTACAATGGTTTACTGTTAAACTTGAGCTTGCTTCTGTGTGTGCTTTTGTTTTGGTCTTTTTTTTTTTTGAGTTTTTTTTGGTGTTTAGGTGTTTGTTTTTAAACTCTTGAGTTCTGGCGAAATGTATTAGCATGGTTAGATCCAGGCTCAGCTCACACTTTGTGTATGCAGTGTGGCATATAAGGAGCTTTTTTGGAAGCAGACTGCAGAGACACTGAGCTTGCTGAGCAGGAACCAGCTCAGGGCTAGCAGTGAGTCACAGCTGCTTTTTAATTTCTTTGTGCAGTGATTCCCAGTATGTTTTGCAGTGAAACAATATACAAGTGTTTCCATTGCCTGCTTTCTTACAACCTTTTGTGAGTTGTGATAGTGGAGCACTGACCATTATACACAAAGTATGGAGGACTGGATGGGTGCTGTCTGTTAGGACTCATGTTTTGGTTTTGTGGAGTATATAGCCGTGCTGCACACGCTGAGACTGTGTTTAATAACTGCAGCTGTCTTAAGGGTAAGTAGCTTTTCTGTTTCGATTTGTAAATACCTTCTGGAAAAACTGCAGTGTGCTTGGAGTAAGTCAGAATACTTTTAAGACTATATCCTTGATAGTCTGTGGATGGTTACAGTACTTGAAATTAAAATTTCAAGTTGAAATTAAATTAAATTTAAATTCAATTGAAATAAAAAATAAAATTTCAAGTTATTTTTCTCACAAAATTCACAAATGCTTGCTTTCTTTTTCCAAGCAAAAGGTCATACAGCTTTTCTGGGTTTTTCCATATGCAGGTGCACCTGGGACAAGCGGATATAAAATGCCCGATCACAGAGTGCAGCGAACACCTGGATGAAACAACTGTCCTCTATAACCTACCCCATGATGACATCATCAAGTACAAATATTTCCTGGAACTCAGCCGCATTGACTCCAGCACCAAGCCATGCCCTCAGTGCAAGCACTTTACAACCTTCCGGAGGAGAGGCCACATTCCTACTCCTGCCAAATTGGAGAACAAATACAAAGTGAGCATGCTTGCCAGGGCTGTGGGTTAGATGGCACTGCAAAAGTATGACAGCTTTTGGTGGGCATCAGATGGACTTTTTTGCATCACTGGGTCTGTGTGCAGTCTATGGTTAAGAATACGTCTCTCTAGTACATCACTGATTAACTACTTAATTGATTTCGAACAGTTCCAGCAGTTGACTTCGGTCCTTATTTCTTTGTCAGATGGTGTAATTTTGTCCTGACACACAACTTAGGTTGTTTTCTCTCTGACATATAAAGAATACAGTCATGATCAGAAGAGACTGGGGAAGAAAAGTTATCACTATAACTGATAATTTTAAACACGCAACTCCAGCAAACATAAGTTTTCCCTGAAACTGAGCAAATGAATTCTGGGCATTTAGTGTTAGGCTGTTGGCTTACTTCTTCCTTAGAACCAGTGCTTCTGTCTATCCTGCTTCTTGGTTTTGATTCCTTCAGTCCCTTACCAGAGGTTTTACATTGGTGTAATCTCATCACTCACAACATGGAAAACTTGAAAAACAGGAAAAAACCCACTTTACAGCACTTCTTTTAGTAGAAGATTTGCTTATAGTGTGACTTCAATCAAAGATAGGAAGCAAGAGATTACAGTCAGAAGAAGCTTTGAGCTGCTGGAGGTCCATCTCAGTTCCAGAAGATGAAGGTTCTGTTTGCAGCATCATGCTTGGTGTTAGTTTTCCATCCAGTTATTAGATTTGATGTGGTTACTTTCATGATTGAGCTGGCCTTTCCTGGACAAACCAGTTCTCCTTAGCAGGAGTTCAGATGACTGTTTAGATAGCCCTAATTACACAGCATAAGATTCAACCCAGTATGGAGATTAAAAATTAGAAGGTTTTGTATCCACTGGAGTTGAAACCCTGGTACTGCTAAGTATGGGTTATGAGCTACTTATGTATATCTGTGCAGTGCATGAATTACATGCCACAATGTCTGCTGAACTTAACATTTTCAGGTTTTTGGCATCCTACACAGAGAAATTTGAAACTGCAGGTAAGATTGCTTGTGCCCACAGCTATTGTCCTTCACCCATCTGCTTAGCATTCCCTCAGGTGTGGCCAGGATGTACAGTCCAGGGTAGGTCAGATATTGTGATGCTTCTGCAGCAGCCTCTTATGATACCAGAGGTTGTTTCTGTCCCACTGACCTGGGTCACAGATGGTGCAGCTGTTGTATCGTGGGATGCCTACTCTACGAATGTTCTTTAAGGCACAAAATGGGTTGTTCTGCCCACCAGTGCTCTTTTAGGAGTTTAAAATGCTATAGTTAAAACATTCCTACCACTTCCCTACAAATCATAATCAGAAGGAATGGGAGACTTTGAAGTGTGAAAAAGTGCAAGGCAGAAGCAGTTCCCTGGTCCTGCGGTCATGCATTATGTGTATCTCTGATCTGCAGAGCTCAAGTCTCTTCCTGGGAGCAGACTCTGGCAAAATGTGTCCTTTGAGCTGTGGCCAGGTGTTGCCTGGAAGAACGTGGAGTTGATGCTCGTCAGAAATATAATTAGGAAAGTGCTAGCAAACAGCGTGGATGATCATAATGCGGGTCTTCCACCTACTCCCTGAATCTGTGTTGTTTTCTAGCATAGGTACAGTTTCAGTGACTTACTTTAAGCTTAGCACAAGCAAGAGTTTTGCTGCAGGGACAAGATTTAAAAGGAGAACTATAAGAACTATAAGACTGTGTATGTGTGAGTAATTACATACACATGTAGCTGTGGACCATTATCACCTCAGTTTTCTTAGGTTCTTGTGATTGTATGGTAACTTGTTTGTGCCTTGAATTATAGATTCTTTGGAGGTACAGACTCATTTTCTTTTGCATATAGCATAGGAGACATCTGACTGGAGACTGGGAGGCCCACATATTCACATGCAAGCAATATAAACAGCAATTGCACCAGCACTGGAAGTGCTGCCTTCAGAAGAACTGAGTCATGCGTGGAGAAAGTCTACGCACAAGCTTACGAGTAGGATCACTGCACACAAGGGCTTAGTGCCAGTACCCTTGCTCTCCTGTACACTGCAACAGCAAAACACTAAAATCCAAGAGTGTGTTTGAACAGATACTTTTGAAATGTTATGGCATTCCTAAAATATGATATACTATTTAAAATTACAAATTAACTTCACATCTAAATTTAAAGAGGTAGCAAAGTTATTAGATTTTCCTTACAATAGCTGGTTTATGTCAGCTAAACTGATCTAAGCCCAGCAGTTCAGTTTGCTGGTGCTGTTTTTTGTTTTTGAGATCGAAGTATTGATGTGCTAAGCGTAGAAAGTTAACGGATACATGTATGTTGAGAGAGGAGGAAGGGAAGAAAAAGGAAACTTGCTATCTAAACCTTTCTTTTGCCATTAGTGCTACTTAAGACAGCAGGGTGACTGTTTAGTTTCTTTTATCAAGTATTTGTATCACAAATGGATCCAGCTGTAAGTAAGGAAATACCCCTGCCCTCTCTCTTATGACCTAAATTGGGAGTGTAAGACTTCATTACAGTCAAGATCCTAATAAACCTTTTGTCAAAGCTGGAATGCCAAAGTACAAATAAATTGGGCAAAAGCTGAAAACACTAGTAGTTCTGTTCCTATGCATGGAACAGATGCAGGTTTCACAAGAATTATTATTATGTTGGCTTGTTCTCTGAGTTTTCAGGTGGGTTTTATTAGAGGGGGTCTCCTAAACTCTGGTTTTCATCTGTTCTGTTAATGTTAGTCCTTTGACCTGCCATGAAGAAGCGTTTCCCGATTCTTGGACTCTATTTCTGCCTTATCAACCTGTGAGATTCATAATGAAGTTTTCTTGTTCTCGTCCATCAAGAAATACACATTACATAAAAAAGAGCTTGGGTGCTTGGCACTATCTTTTGTTTGAACCACTCAAGAGTTACTAGAAGTAGTAGGAATCTGTAGCTGCAAAGATGCAGTGATAGAGTGGATTTGTGCATTTCACATCAATTGGTTTCCCCCTTTTTGGATCAGATTTTAACCTTGAGTAGCAGATACCTTCATGGTTACATGTAATCTCAGTCTGCCTTGAGCTAGAACTGCTGTACATGTGATTTTGCCATGCTCTCTCCACTGTTCATTCCTATTGGCTTGCTTTTGCTCATGTTGATGTTTTGGTGTCATGCTGGGAGCTGGATCAAAGGTCAGCTCCAATGAGAAACAAGATTTGTTTGTTTAGTTGTTGCTTATTTTCAGCTGGTACATGAGAGGATGGGTTGGTGATGAGAAGAAGACAGCTGTTTTGGCAGGAGCCCATATTTATTTTGGAGTAAAGTGACTCTGTTGCTGTAGCTAGAGATTGTAACTCATGTAATCAGTTAGCTGCACAATTAATTCAGCCATCCTATTATATAGCTAGCATTCCGCTAAGCAGCATAAAATCCCACTAAGCCTTTCACAGCTTCAGGCGCTCAGAATATTTTTAATGTCCAGGTAGTTTTGTTACCGTCATCTTACATGGAGCAGTGTTTTGTATTGCTGTTCCTTACCAATTTTGAAAGGTCTTTTCCTGTGAGGTGAGGAAAATGATAGTTTAAATAGTTTGCAGTAAAGAGGCTATCTAAGAAAGTGGAAAATGTTAGCCTCAAAGGTCAGTGTTTCAGAAAGCTGAGAACCAAAAGGGTTTGTATGAGAAGTTGTGTAATCTTTTCTGTTTCAAGGAAGACTGACCTCCAGATGGCATAGAAGTTTCTGTACATATCCATCCTCTCAATTCTGATTGACTGAAGTGGAAGTTGTAAAATAAATGGAAAAATGCTTGTGTGATGAAAAACATACTTGAAAAAACACTAGTTTTGAAGGTTTTTTTCAGAAATAATTTGTCTGTTTTGCTGGATGATAATATATTTTACTGGTTTAAATTATATGTAGATAACATTTTTGTCCTCATTATGATGGTTTCATGCACCAGTACTGAAGCATAAAGCAAATCATACTTAACTCTTTCAGAAAAGTAGAGAGAGAATAGAATAAGAATCTGAAAGACTGCTGTAATTGCCTTGTTGTGGTTCTATTTCTTAAGCACACTGGTATCACACTGCATCCAAGTTGGAATAGCTTTAGGATTTCGTTTTGCACCCAGTAGTTCCAAGGAAAATTAAGTTCATAAGTACTTAAAAGAGCATACTTTTCTTTGCCTGCTTAATGTATGTTGAAAATAAAAACTGTTTACCAGTTCAGTTTTGTGGGAAATGCTGTTGGGTGGCAGGTGGAAGAGGAACCTAGGAACTTCAAACCTGGTAATGAAGTAGGCAGTTTCCACTCATTTACTTCAGTTAGTCAGGGCCATTCATGGTAACAAATGTTACTGAGTTCACACAGTTATAGCCTTACCGTGTATTTCAGTGCTTTCCAAGTAACATCTGATGTCAGTGTGCATGTATAAGATTCAATATATATCCTGGTGGCTGCTACAGTTCTTGCAATTATATACATGCTATAATGGAAAGATAGAGCCTGCCACTAATTTGTCAAATTTTCAACGAATAAAAAACACTAAACCAAACCCACAAAACTTATGTTTTAAACTATGTTGACATTTTGATTAAGAAAGAAGCTTTACCTTGCAGCTTCTCTGATCTGTTTGTTTGGATTTATATTCTTTAACATTCATGTTCCATCTCAAATGTCTGGATATTTCAACTGGTAAACACTTTCAGGTTGCAAAACGCTTAATTGTGACTACAAGCTTCATCTTTGGCTGAGGCATAACAAATACTGAGTAAATACAATGCGATACCTGCTATAATCTGTCTTCCCAGCAGTAGGTCACTGTGACATACATTATTGGGGTAGGGGAAAGGGAAAATAAGATACTGAGATATTGGGCAGGTTAGTTGCTAATAAGATAATCTATCTTGTGCATATTGGTTTCTGAAGGATTGTGGAAAGAACTTGGTGCTCTGTGTTAGTTTGGTTAGTAGCAATAAATTTGCTAAGCAGAGATTCAGGATAGTATTTTTCCTTTGGTTTAGCATCTAGGCCAGTAGACCAACAAATCAGAGAAAGGGCACTGGTTATATTTTGTGTTGCTTTTGTTTTATACCTTATCTTGGCCTTAGACATTACTGTGTTTTCATGAAAAAAGTAATTGCATTTGTAATCCACGCATTGCAGCTTTAATGTGTTGTTTACTTACAAACAGGTTTCATTTGTTCTTTCCTGGTTTTATGCTGTCTACCTTTGTATTCGGTAACTTATTTCATTGGCAGGAAACATGTGATAAGTGCAGTTTTCCTCTGTGTGAGGTATCTTACTGTGTGCCTTGGAAAAAATGTCACTTTGTAGCTATAGAAAGCAGGAAGTCATACTTGCGCTGGGTACAGGATATCAGAACTTTATCCATTTTAATATTACACTCTTTTGAGTATGCTTGATATGAAAGAAATGTATGTGTTCTAACATGTATGATTTATTTTTTTACAAGGATAATGACTAGTAGATGGTAACTGACTAAAATGTTAATGTGTTATAACAAGAAGAACATCTGTCAACTTTTTGATGCTGCTTCCCTTCTTTGCACTTTAGCCTTATGCCCAGGCAAAGAATCCTGAAGCGGGAAATGCTGTCTTATGGGTAGTGCAAAAATTATTAATTCTCTTGACCGTTAACTAAGTTCTTAACCATTAATTAAGTTCTTGCACTTGCTGATCTGTAGATGTGGATTGGCATAAAGATGTAAGCTGAAGCAATGCACCAAGCATCGTATAGTCTACCATTAAAAGTGAAATACTTATTTAAACAGCTCTGCATAGACAGAGGTACATCAGTCACTTCATACAAATGGAGCTTTGACTGTTGCATGCTGCTACAGTCTAGAAAAAACATTTGCTCTCTACAGGTCAAGTTAGAGACAACCACTGAAAAATGAGTCAGCTAGGGTCGTAAAACTGCTCAACTCAAGCCATTGGGTCAATTAGATTTCTAATGTGAAACATTAAAGGCAAAAAGCTAAATGCTATCTCTCTATATAGAGCTAGGGGAATAGCATTAAAGGTAGCAGACAGCTTAATTTCTCAGTCATGCATCAGAGATCAGATCAGCTTTGTATTAGCATGCTGGTGGTGACAGATGGAGGAATTGCACACATAAATAGTGATTTTGGCTGCCCCCCAGCAAAATACTTAAGAGCTATCAGAGTGCCTGCTTTGCCCTCTGACTGGAGTCGAGGCGGCACACCACCAGTTAGGGTGTCTGAGCAGAAGGCAGGGCAACTGGTGGGAGTGGGGACTTCGGAAATACATTTTGAGGGCTTTACGTGTGACTGCACCCTAGGATATAGTTTCCTGAACAGCAACCCCATGCCATGCATGGCCGGCACAGACACATCCATGGTTTGGTAGTAAACCAGGTGTGGACACAGGACTAAAGAGCCTTTCTGGCAGTGCTAGGTATGGGCTGCAACTGCAGCTGGTTGATGGGGCTCAGCAGTCGCTTGAAAAGTGGACCTTCCTGTCCTG